AACTTTGACCCCCAACAGAAACAAAACCCACCTTGTCAAGGATTCAAACCTGGGTCTCCTGCATCAGAGCCCAGCATTCTTAACTGCTGGGCCAGAGACTTCTCAAGATAGTAACACAGTGACATGGGAAAAATAAAAAAGAGGTCATAAAGTTATTGCCTGGTAATTTCACTGCGGTCAACATTTAGTGTTGAAATGGCACCTGATTGATTGACTTAATTATGTGTTTAAGGAATTGTCTCTGCAGTTTGTTTTCTGGTTGTATTTAATTCTCTCGTCTACTACAGTATCCAAATAATTAACAAGTCAAAGTGAGTGTAGAAATCAAAACAATATTTAATAATTAGTTTGCCAACAATATCAGACAAAATTTGAGCTCAGCAATATAATATAACCCACTTCGGCTTCCTCAGGCATAACACAGTTCATGTTTCTGTGACAATCCACTTCCTGTGTGAAATAACCCACTTCCTGTATCTGTGACATAACCCACTTCATGTGTGAAATAACCCACTTCCCATATCTGTGACACAACCTATGTCCTGTGTGAAATAACCCTCTTCCTGTATCTGTGACATAACCCACTTCCTGTGTGAAATAACCCATTTCCTGTGTGAAATAACCCACTTCCTTATCTGTGACATAACCCACTTCATGTGTGAAATAACCCACTTCCTATATCTGTGACATAACCCACTTCCCATATCTGTGACATAACCCACTTCATGTGTGAAATAACCCACTTCCCATATCTGTGAAATAACCCACTTTATTTATCTGTGACATAACCCACTTCCTTTGTTAAATAACCCATTTCCTGTGTGAAATAATCCACTTCCTTATCTGTGACATTACCCACTTCATGTGTGAAATAACCCACTTCCCATATCTGTGACATAACCCACTTCCTATGTGAAATAACCCACTTCCTGTATCTGTGACATAACCCACTTCCTTTGTGAAATAACCCATTTCCTGTGTGAAATAACCCACTTCCTTATCTGTGACATAACCCACTTCATGTGTGAAATAACCCACTTCCCATATCTGTGACATAACCCACTTCCTCTGTGAAATAACCCACTTCCTGTATCTGTGATATAACCCACTTCCTGTGTGAAATAACCCATTTCCTGTGTGAAATAACCCACTTCCTTATCTGTGACATAACCCACTTAATGTGTGAAATAACCCACTTACTGTATCTGTGACATAACCCACTTCCCATATCTATGACATAACCCACTTCCTTTGTGAAATAACCCATTTCCTGTGTGAAATAACCCACTTCCTTATCTGTGACAGAACCCACTTCATCTGTGACATAACCCACTTCCTGTATCTGTAGCATAACCCACGCCCCATATCTGTGACATAACCCACTTCCCATGTCTGTGACATAACCCACTTCCTCTGTGAAATAACCCACTTCCTGTATCTGTGACAGAATTGAGCCCATGTCTGTGAAACCAATCCCCATAAGTGCTGCCAGGGGCCACATGAAATGAGGCACTTTGTGAAATATGCACACTGTTTATCGTCATGGAAACACCAAAAATAAAACATGGCGAAATACATGTAAGGCCACAAGAAGCCATTAGTTATAAAATACGGACATTAAGATATGAATACTTTCTCATTCTCAAAACAAATTTGCAAATGCTGAATGAAATTCACATATAGACTTATAGACTTAACGATGTAGTTTTAGGATTATATATTCTAAGTTAGAGGATAAACTCAAGAGGATCAACTTTACTGCACTGGGTTTGATCCCATATGATTCAAGTACTATCTAAACCCTTCCAGACCGCTGGCCTGATTTCCCGGGAATTTTCTAACCTGACGCTATACCGCTGGCTCTATTTTCCGAGAATTTACGTAGTACGTGAAAAATATGCGTCACAGACTAAAAATAACCAGCTAATCCCCATCAGACTTTGTGGTTAGTCATTGCGAATGACTTCCCATGTGTGTTGAGATTTCTTTGTGTCGTCTGATGTGAAAATAATTCGGAAAATTCTCAATGAAACAAGCGGCTTCGACAAGAAAGTGATGTAGATCTAGGCTTTCCACAGTCCAACAGGTGATCGATACTTTGGATAATTCAGACTGTGAATACATTCATGAAGAAATACGTTTCCAGTTGAAGTGACACAGTCAGTGAGAGCTAGAGTGAGGAGGAGAATTATGAAAATTATAGATTTAAAACTAGATCGATAGTAAGAGAAGGGGGGCGTGTCCCTTAAACAGCAACATCTGGTGTTTACTTTTTGAAACAAGACTGATCCTACTAGGTGGATTGGCACACAAAGGTGGAAGATTGGGGCTAGATGAAAAGTAAACCTATTTTCTACAAGTCTCCAAGTATTATCTTATTCTAACCACTTGTTTGCATGTAACTAATTTTTTTGTACATCATGTTGGTTTTTTCATGTTAATGCCCAGGAGCTCAGGTTATATGGACAGTTAGGTTCAGGGCCTCAGGTCTGGTAGGGTTAAGTGCTATACAGAGCCAATCCTGTTGTTAAAAAGTGAATCATGGATAGTCGGCCAATTAGCAAATAAAAATTTAAACAAAATATGTGAAAGCTGGAGAGATGTGGTTCTATAGACAAATGATGAGGACAACATGGATAGATTAAAAAGTGTAATGAAGATTTCTTGGAGAAAATTTAACTCATAAAGATAACCAATTACACTCATCATTAGAAGGAGATAATCTCTATTTAATCTCATAACATGTTTGAAAAATAGTTAACTATTTATGCCCAATTTGTATAATCAGTTAAAGACTTTCATCTGTCTTGAAGATGACTGCCTCATTTGTTTTCCTATCATTCCATGATATTCTTTGCTTTCTTCTTGAAAACAACAACTCCAGTGAAGCAGAAGTTATCTGCTTCTTGTCCATGTCTCAGATGCAAATAATAATAACAGGTTCTATACAGCACTATAAGAAAACAATGGGAGACCTAAAAACATGGAGTGAAAGTATTATTACAGAGGGAAATAACGAATTAAGAAGAGACACCATAGCCATCGGGATGTGAAAAAAATCACAGACATAGAGATATAACAAATTGAAAAAAGAATTAAAGACATAGAGATTTAACAAATTAAGAACTGACATCATATCTATCAGGATGTGAAAAGAATTACAGACAGAAATAACAAATTAAGAACTGACACCATAGCCATCGGAATGTGAAAAGACTTACAGAAAGAGAGAAATAACAATTAAGAACTGACACCATAGCCATGGGAATGTGAAAATACTTACAGAAAGAGAGAAATAACAAATTAAGAATACACCATAGCCATCGGAATGTGAAAAGACTTACAGAAAGAGAGAAATAACAAATTAAGAACTGACATCATAGCTGTCAGGATTTCTTACTAAGCGCTCCCTCCCCATCTTCAGCAGCAAGCATAGACTTCCAGTTTGGATGGTACCAGTAACAGTCTGATCGTATGTCCATCTTGCCCCTTCCCCAAGTGTTAAGCACTGACCAGATCCCCTGATTACTCCTCGCTTCACCAAGCTCTTCAAAGCATGATGATCTATTTGTGCCTCAGCACTCACTCCCACACAAGATCTTACAGCCCATACAACATCTTACAGCCCTTACAAAATCTTGCATGTCATTCATCAATTCATGCAGTGTGCTACGAGAAAAGCCAGCATCTACATCTTAAGACATGTGCTGCGGGAGATGGAGCAGCTATGGGTAAGCCGGGTGTGTTATGATGTCGATTCTTAACTCAGTGTTCAGTAATCATCAATTTACGACTCAATGGTGGTAAAGTGATGCATGAGAAGCATCATGAGAGAAATGAAATAGGGAGATAATGAAAAGCGAAATAATTTGGGGACATATAAATAAAAAGAGCTGCAGGAGACAGCAAAAGATTGGAGGTAGCGGTAGAGCGAGTTGGTTAACTGATAAATGCTTCAATGGCAAATAGTTATTTATAAACAAATATGCATCAATGTTATAAATGTAAGTTGTACCCTTGATTAACCCTGCAAAATAAGCATAAACAAACATTGTTTTTGAGCAGAGCAAAGAAATAATTGTCCTTGTCTGTGGCTTAGGCTTAGGCGTTTCGAACGTGCTTCGTAGTGCCCGGTTCGATCCCAGCTGCGGGCCTTGCGTTGGTTTCGACAGTGGTATCGAGAAACCGACTGTCCAGAAAGCAATGGCAAACTGCTGTAAGTAAATTTGCCTAAAAAAACCACCACAGCCAAAAAATGCTGGGTTTGGTTTCTGCAATTTCATGTAAAGGATACGCAACCAACTAATGCAATAATTACAAATAAAGAGATATAATTTTTTTAAATTATTATCCACTTCTTGTTCAAACTTACAATGGAGAAACACTGCTCTGAACTTCAGAAGAAATAAGTGTTCTCACAAATACCCTAGTTAACTGCTGCCGCTAGAAGCCAGAATTAATACACATGTCAATTTTAATGGTGACGGCAGAAGAAAAAAAGCTGACTTATTCACTGGTACTTGTATAAATTTAGCATTATAATTTGCATTTTGGTTTTTCTTTTACTGAAGGGTACAAACGTTTTTTAGGCAGCTTTGCTATTTTAAAAAAATATATACGAACGAACAAATAAACTTTATTTTCAGGGTTACGTAAAAGAAAGCCTGTAAATCATATGTACAGATATGTTGAACAGTTTTCAATGTCTAGCTTTGATTAAAGAAATAAGTAGAGGACAAACAGAAGAAAGAAAACAATGTGCAAATCGCTTTTATCTCCTGTTGTACTAATATCTGATAATCATAAACACGTAAACAAATTCAGTAATTTAACAATTAACATAACTTTTGCAAAGTTTAGTCATTCATGTTTTCAGTAACAAGCAGAAATTGAAAAAAAAACCATACCAAAAAAGAAATTAAACGTTAACTAGCAAGTAATTTTGTACAATTTCTCAAATGCTTTCCTTTAACAAACGTAATAAATACATTACAAAGTAACTATTTTTTCTTACGGCTGTTTTTTCCACGAAACTGTTTTGTTGCCTGAGTCTCGGCTTTGTAGCGGCAGTACAAGTAGTAGAAAATGTACAGGGCAGCGGCAGGAAATAGAAGAAACTTGCACAGCTGGAGGAGATAGTCGATGTCTACAGAAGTGCCGTATCCATGCTTGGTAATACTGACCAATGTCACATCAAATAACAAGGTGGCATCGGCTGGGGACACAGAATCGTTGAATCTATTTTTAATAAATAAATTAGCAACAACAACAAAATGACAGGGAAAGTTAACTGTGAATATTTATAATATTGGGGCATTAACTCTTAACTTAATGGGAATAAGAACAATCAAATGCTTAGGTTTTGAAGGGATGGGATGAAAAGAGAGATAAACAGAGACAAGGGGAAGACTGCAGTAGGGGTGGTAACAACAACAGTGCTGACGATAATGACGACGAAGGTGATAATGACGACGATAACACTATTGATGATAATGGTCACAACAACGATGATGATAATGCTGAAACTATGAAGATGAGGAAGATAATGACAATATGTTGATTATGATGACAACAATGGTGATGATGATGATGTAGCTAAATTTCATATACTTACGAGGAATCACCGGGGGATATCCAGCTTTTCCATAAGCCAGATTTGGTGGAATGATGAGTCGTCTCTTTTCTCTGGAAAGCACAATCATACTCAAGCATAAACATACAGAAAACTAAGTATGAACTAAACTATCAGCTACATATCAAGTCTATTCTTTCCAATGCAAAAATATTGCCTAAAGAAGAGTAGATAGTTGAACATTTTGGCACACTGGTTATGTCATTCGTCATTCTAGGAGACACTCAATGTAAGTCAGGCAAAACATCCAATTATATCAATTGTCATTCTAGGAGACACTCAATATAAGTCAGGCAAAACATCCAATTATATCAATTGTCATTCTAGGAGACACTCAATATAAGTCAGGCAAAACATCCAATTATATCAATTGCCATTCTAGGAGACACTCAATGTAAGTCAGGCAAAACATCCAATTATATCAAATGTCATTCTAGGAGACACTCAATGTGAGTCAGGCAAAACATCCAATTATATAAATAGTCATTCTAGGAGACACTCAATGTAAGTCAGGCAAAACATCCAATTATATCAAATGTCATTCTAGGAGACACTCAATATAAGTCAGGCAAAACATCCAATTATGTCAAATGTCATTCTAGGAGACACTCAATGTAAGTCAGGCAAAACATCCAATTATGTCAAATGTCATTCTAGGAGACACTCAATATAAGTCAGGCAAAACATCCAATTATGTCAAATGTCATTCTAGGAGACACTCAATGTAAGTCAGGCAAAACATCCAATTATGTCAAATGTCATTCTAGGAGACAATCCATGTATGTCAGGCAAAACATCTAATTATGTTAAATGTCATTCTACGAGACAATCAATGTAAGTCAGGCCAAAAATCCAATTATGTTAAATGTCATTCTAGGAGACAATCAATGTAAGTCAATGATTAGTAGTACACAAGACAGAAGGCAGTGGCCACACATGATGACCAACACAGGTTGGACTATAAGAACATCTGTAGGAGAAATGACAGATGTTTCAGGATACACAAGGCAGTGACCACACATGACGACCAACACCACACCACACAGCATGGACTATAAGAACATCTGTAGGAGAAATGACAGATGTTTCAGGATACACAAGGCAGTGACCACACATGATGACCAACACCACACAGCATGGACTATAAGAACATCTGTACGAGAAATGACAGATGTTTCAGGATACACAAGGCAGTGACCACACATGATGACCAACACCACACAGCATGGACTATAAGAACATCTGTAGGAGAAATGACAGATGTTTCAGGAGACACAAGGCAGTGGCCACACATGATGACCAACACCACACCACACAGCATGGACTATAAGAACATCTGTACGAGAAATGACAGATGTTTCAGGAGACACAAGGCAGTGACCACACATGACGACCAACACCACACCACACAGCATGGACTATAAGAACATCTGTAGGAGAATTGACAGATGTTTCAGGATACACAAGGCAGTGACCACACATGACGACCAACACCACACAGCATGGACTATAAGAACATCTGTACGAGAAATGACAGATGTTTCAGGATACACAAGGCAGTGACCACACATGACGACCAACACCACACAGCATGGACTATAAGAACATCTGTACGAGAAATGACAGATGTTTCAGGAGACACAAGGCAGTGACCACACATGACGACCAACACCACACAGCATGGACTATAAGAACATCTGTACGAGAAATGACAGATGTTTCAGGAGACACAAGGCAGTGACTACACATGATGACCAACACCACACAGCATGGACTATAAGAACATCTGTAGGAGAAATGACAGATGTTTCAGGAGTAACAAGGCAGTGACCACACATGACGACCAACACCACACAGCATAGACTATAAGAACATCTGTAGGAGAAATGACAGATGTTTCAGGAGACACAAGGCAGTGACCATACATGATGACCAACACCACACAGCATGGACTATAAGAACATCTGTAGGAGAAATGACAGATGTTTCAGGAGACACAAGGCAGTGACCACACATGATGACCAACACCACACCACACAGCAAGGACTACAAGAAGAACATCTGTGTAAAAATGACTGACAGTACATGAGTCAGAAGGCAGTGGACAGACATGTCGACCAACACCACACAGCAAGGACTACAATTAAAAGAACACTGATTCTAGTGTGATCTAGCAAAATTGTCACACTGTCACTTACCCTGCACACATACCCAGCAGACCCTCTTCCCAGCCTGTAGGGATATCACAGAATATATACATGCTCAGTTTTCATGAACAATTATTAATAACTTCAATCTTCAACCTCCTAGTCAGCATGTATGGCTTAGGGGTTCTGAACAATTTCATAATTCTGATGTGCCATGTTTGCGGCAGATGCAGGTAATCTGGCAGCAGTCCACTCTGCATTTCAACAACAGTATGTTGTCAAACATTCAGATTTTCCCTGCTGGTTAGTGTTCTTTCAATATTTTCTCTAGAGTATACAGGAGTGCTGGGAAAATAACAGGCAGACAGATTGGGTGGTTCTGCACCAATGGGTGGTGAATTTATACATGACAAGCTATATGTGCTCAATGCCCTTTGGGAACAAGTGAACAATGTGAAGGCACAAACAGATCATGGTCTGGAGAGACCGGTACAGCTAGGAGTGTCCATGGAATCTGGTCAACACTCTACACTCAGAGGAAAGGCAAAGCAAGATGGCCATATCATCAAACTGCTACTGGCACCATCGGAATAGGAACTCTTCATTGGCTGCTGAAGACAAGGATGGAGAGCTTATGGGAATGTCCCAAGTACTATGATGTCAGTTCTTAACTCAATATTTAAACAGCTCTCATTGAGTTACTATTTATTCATAACTTTTATTTCTTGCTTGTTCTTCTTGATTATCATTTAGACCATGGCTGCGGGATGTGTGTTTACTGGCTCTCTAGCGAAGTTGGTTAAACCTGACTTTCGCGGCGGCCGGGTGACGAACTCCTTGTGGTCCGGGTTCACTCCCGGGGGTAGGCAGAAAAGCCACATTTCTCCCAGATTAACGGTACCTATAATGGAATCAATGTCGAAGGGTTGCGATATCCATAGTACCGAGCCAAAGGGTTTACAACTCATGGTTTCTGGATACGTTAAAAAAAAAAAAAAACTGGGGAAAAGGCAATGAGGAAGAGAACTAGACACCCCATGTCATAGCCTATAATGTTTAAAGAACTAATACTCAACACCACAATGTTGCCAGAACTACAAAGTTCTTACTTTGTGCAATGATCTTGACAGGAGGCCAGCCATTCTGCAGAGAGAGACTGAGCCATATGAGATAAAACTCAGTACAATGAAGTTGATCCTCTCGACTTTTAACTGTAACTTTTACCACGCCAATGACAGTATCCGTCATTGACTACCTTCACTGTTACTAGATAGTTAGTTAATTAGTTAGTTAATCAACAGATTATCCTCACTGCACATCGAACAAGTTCATAAACACTTGGATCCCATCTTCAGTATATCCCTCAGTGTGTGGCCACTGATAACAACCAGTTCTGTGTTGGTTTACTATTGTTCTTTGGTTACCTGCATAGAGTACACGTCGACCCGGTCTATTGCTTTCCCTGTACCATGACCCTGCGTGCAAGCCAATTCGCTCATTCATTTCCCCTTACCCAGAGTGTCATGGCCAAAAAAAAAAATGAAACTACTTCCTATCAGATGAGATTTCCTCAGCGACTCCAATAATTGCTTCTGTTACTGTGGGCCTGCAATCTTTTTTGGGGGTCAACACTTTCAACTTTTGGGGGTGGAAACATTCAATTTCACTCAGGGTCAAAACTTTCAACTTTATTTGGGGTCAAAACTTTACAACTTTACATGGGGTCAAAACTTTCAACTTTATTTGAGGTGAAAACTTTCAACTTCACTTGGAGTCAAAACTTCAAACTTCACTTGGAGTCGAAACTTTCAAGTTTACTTGGGGTTGAAACTTTCAATTTTACATGGGGTCAAAACTTTCAACTTTACTTTGAGTCAAAACTTCAAACTTTACTTGGAGTCGAAACTTTCAAGTTTACTTGGGGTTGAAACATTCAACTTCAGTGTCATCTAGACAGAGCATGGTGTAGCAGAGTGACCAAGCAATGTGGCCTACTCTCAACACTCAGAGGAAAAGCAAGATGGACATACAATCAGACTGCTACTAGTATTACTGGAACTGGAACTCTGCGCTAGCTGCTTAAGATGGCAACGGTGCGCTTATGGAAATGTCTTGAGTGACGTGATGTTGTTCTTAATTCAGCATAACTCATCTTCATTATGGCATTTGTTGCCAGGTATCACCAAACCTGTTCCTATATAATTAATTCCAAGTTAGAAAGTTTACTGTTTCTTCTGGAACCTATCTTCCTTTCTCTGTTTCTCTCCCTCTCTCTCTATCTCTCGCTCTCTCATTCACACTCAGACTTACTCACATGCACACACACAATAAAATGCACAGAAGAAAAAGAAACAGTAAGTGAGTGAGTGAATGAGTGAGTGAAAGAAGAAGTTGATGAATAAAATTTTTAAAAGTTAGTGAGAGAAAGAACAACTGAGTCAGTGAGAGAAAAGGTGAGTTAGTGGGTGAGTGAGTGAGTAACTGAGTGAGAGTGAGTGAGTAACTGAGTGAGTGAGTGGGTGAGTGAGTAAGTGAGGTGAGGTCTCTCATACCTGGGATCACCTGTCGATTACCCAACACAAGTGTAATGGGCTTCTTGGCAGCATTCTCAGAAGAATCAAAAATGTCCCCAGTCTCCAGATAACCCTGCCATGTGAGGAAAACCAAATAAAGACATGATTTTTTTTTAAACTTTTGACCACACTCATGCACACACGTGTACGGACATGTACGGACATACACACACCCACCCACCCCCTCCCCACCCCATGCAAGTAGGTGGTCTGGTGGTCTGCTTATTGTCCAAGTCTTACAAGCACATAACAAAATGAGTTCTATAATTTCTGTGTGGGTTCTGGGGTCCCCAATGTGGGGGCAAACAAGAATAGACCCACTGCCTACCCAACAAGTGTGTCGTAGAAGTCGACTAGTGGGGGACTTCCTTTGAAGTTGGAGTGCATCTGTCCGAATGGCAAGGAATAACCAAATGCACACAAGTAAGTCAGTACAAGTGATTTACATGCAAAACTCAAGCCCTGGACAAAGCTAAATTACCAATGGACAAACAAGCAGGACTTTCCGCCAGAGCCTACAGCCTGTGAACGAAGAAGAAGAGGGTTCTATAAAGTATTTTAATGAAGAAAAAGAGGGTTCTATAAAGTACTTTAATGAAGAAGAAGAGGGTTCTATAAAGTACTTTAATGAAGAAGAAGAGGGTTCTATAAAGTACTTTAATGAAGAAGAAGAGGGTTCTATAAAGTACTTTAATGAAGAAGAAGAGGGTTCTATAAAGTACTTTAATGAAGAAGAAGAGGGTTCTATAAAGTATTTTAACGAAGAAGAAGAGGTTTCTATAAAGTACTTTAACGAAGAAGAAGAAGAGGGTTCTATAAAGTATTTTAACGAAGAAGAAGAGGGTTCTATAAAGTATTTTAACAAAGAAGGAGAAGAGGGTTCTATAAAGTATTTTAATGAAGAAGAAGAGGGTTCTATAAAGTATTTTAACTAAGAAGAAGAGGGTTCTATAAAGTATTTTAACGAAGAAGAAGAGTGTTCTATTAAGTACTTTAACTCTTTCTCTCACTAATACTGCATTCTTTTTTGGGTGAGTATTTGAGTATTTTTAAAAGCAGGTCCTGATTTAGGTCATGGCAAAGACATAAGGCCAGAAAGAAACCAAAACATACAAGATCTGGGGTCTAAGTTCAATAACAAGTGAAAAGGCAAAAATACCTACAGTGTAATGAACTTGTAACTCATCTTGGTTTTCTGACAACTCCAAGCAGTCTGCTGGCTTGTTCTGAAAGTGAAAAATCAAAAGCATTCTGTATTTACACAGAACAAAGTGCATGTCAGTATCAACATAGAAAAAAATGGATGTCTGTATTTGCATGCAATAGAGATGACATCTGTCTGTATTTACACAGAACATAAAATCTGTATTTACACAGAACAAGGTGTATATCTTGGTCTGCTGACAACTCAGAGCATTCTACTTGCTTGCTATAAGAATCAGATTTCAACAGTATGTCTGTATTTAGACAGAACTTTATGTCTGTGTGGGTCTGTATTTACACATAACTTTATGACTGTGTGGGTCTGTATTTACACATAACATTATGTCTGTGTGTGTCTGTATTTACACAGAACTTTATGTCTGTGTGTGTCTGTATTCAAAAAGAACAAAGTGTATGTCTGTATTCACAAAGACAAAGTGTACAACAGTCTACTATAGTGTACGTTTGAATTTACACAGAATCGTCAATTGCGGGTGTGACTTTCCTTAGTCATGACCTCTCAGTTTCTGTGACCTTTATCTTTATTTATGACCACTCTTAGCTATAACATCTCCACAACTGTTGTGACAATCAGCTTACAAATAAAAGGAAAAATCAAAGGCAAGAGAGAAAGAGGTAGACAAGCTATACAAGTGGGTGAAAACATCAAACAATGGACAAATGGGAGTCTGAGAGAGTGTTAAAAAAAAGGGGAGACAGAGATAGAATCTAAAACAACTAACCTTCACTGTGGAGATGGCACCTGCCTGACAGAATGACTGAATAATGATGGGCTGATTAAGTCTAATTATATGACTCAACTGGAGCTGTGTGGGTAGCAGCTTGACGAATGCCTGTGGATCTGAAGGTTGGGGCCAGATATTTTTTTTTTTAATGACTTAGGCTTCCATGTCGACCTAGCCTTAAATGGATATCAGGTAAAGTCCTGGGAAGTAAAGGTGGCCAGCATGATGTTGACCACATCACCTACCGAGTGCCAATTGGTCTATAAAATATAGGTCTAGCCCTATTTGCCCAACATGCACGAAGGCGAGGAAAATGGTCTTTATATGATTGATGTCTTTAGGAAAGCATATGGAGTAACCAGTGAGAAGCTGCAATACAAACTGAAAATCTGATTTGCAAATATAGTGTATTACAATGAATATTGGTGATACAAAAGGAACAGTAGGTGACATGTAATAAAGTCTACAGTGACTTACAATTAACACTGTGTGCTCTATGAAAAAAATCAATCACCAAACAAGCTCTTAAATGGGGGGGAAATGGACCGAGGAAACAAGAATGTCCGGGGAAAAACCTAAGACAAACACTGATGAGAGAGGGCCAAAGGTCCTGGACTTGATTCCATCCATGCTATTGAAACAAAAGCAAAGGATAGAAAAAAAAATGGAAGAATAAACTGTGAGTCCTATGTGACATATAATGGCATAACAAGATAATGACGACAGTGATTCTCAGTGAACGTGATAATACGAAATAAACATGATACATTGTGATTTTATCATTTACAAGAAATTGCTCTCCTTTCAACTACGGCCGGTAGACAACAGTAGATGGCCGGTTAGTCAGAGTTCTGTCCCCTTGCTGCAGTGCAATTACGGACTGGAAAGGAGGGAACGACACAAATGACATAATTACTGTGTGTTGGCGATAGACAGCTTGCACTGCCCTGCTATAATCATACGGTTAGGGTTTGGTTGAGGGTTTGGGTTAGGGGTAGGGTTTGGGTTAGGTTTAGGGTTAGGGGTAGGGTGTGGGTTAGGTTTAGGGTTAGGGTGTGGGTTAGGGTTACGGTTAGTGTCGCCGCATCTCGTCTTCGCACAAACTCATAGTAGCAACCCAAAACCCTAACCCTAAACAACCCAAACCCTACCCCTAACCCAAACCGTATGATGACAGTAGGGCACTGCACGCTGTCTATCGCCAACACACAGTAATTATGTCACTTGTGTCGTTCCCTCTATTCCACTCCGTAAGAAGCGGTAATTGCACACGGTCGCTAATTTGAGTCGCAGCGCGGGGTCTGCTAGGCATGTCGACCTCACTGTGTTTTCTGATTCGTGCCTTCTCCAGTCCGTAATTGCACTGCAGCCAGGGGACAGAACTCCGACTAACCGGCCGTCTACTGTTGTCTACCGGCCGCAGTTGAAAGGAGAGCCCAAGAAATCTCCAGTCTAAGTGGAAGCGGTTTGTTTTTTTTAAGCCGACATATTTGTTTATTATTAGGACTTTCACACTTCAACCCAGAAGAGTTTAATCACATTAAACAAGCAAATCAAACTTACGCACCACTACGAGAGTTACCAGCTTCTTCTGTTTCAGTTTCTGTAGTACTTCTTCATCTGCGACTTCCCCAAATTTTATTTTCTTCTCAGGTGATCCTCCGTCCTCATTTCCAACCACGGCGTCAGAAAATAAAGCAACATATGCCAACAGACACAATAATTTATAATTCTTAAAGGGCATCTCGCAAAACAAACGATTCTTTGTTGGTTTAAGGAGGGGCAGCCTAGATTAAACAGCGAGACGATCATCAAACTGAATAGTGCAGAAACGGTGGTCAATCGACACGTTTGCAAAACCGGTTTCTTACTGTACTGTCTGCGTGAGAAATTAAAAAGTTTGAAAATAGTGAATACGTCTTTGACACTAGTTTCCTTAATAGGAAGTGTATTATTGCAAGTGCATCTAAATCCGTTTTAGTGAATTAGACGCATATTTACGGGTGGCAAATAGCACAAAATAAAGAATCAGTATGGAATAACTTTAATAAGCGGAGGGCTGGCCAGCAGACGCCAACTTGTCGCTTACAGATGTAATTGAACTTCATGAATTGGAGAGCGCAGTAATGGGAGATAACAGAGTAACGTTTTCCCTTTCAGGGCGCCGATACAGCATCAGTAGCGTATTGTTTCCCCAGCCGCCTTATAATTTTGTGGCAAGGGGCCTTACGCCTTATTAAGGGGCATGTTGCTTCTGACTTTTACAGCAATTACTGATTATTTGGAATAAAGGCCCTGCTCTGGTTCAGGGCTGCCCACCTATACAGGTGAAGAATTGGACCTCACAGCTACATTTGTCAAGTAACTGTGCGATTCTTAATTCAACATTCAACTCTACCACCCGGAGGTACAGTTGAGTTTTCCCCCTTCTGTCATCCCTCCACCCCCTGGACGTACAGCTGAGAGTTTCCCTTATGTAAACCACCACTTTGAGGTACAGCTAAGGGTCCCTTTTGTCCACCGCCTCCTAGAGGTACAGTTGAGAGTATCCCTTTTGTCCATCACCACCTGGAGGTACAATTGAAGTTTCCATTTTGTCCACCACCACCTGGAGGTACAGTTGAAGTTTCCATTTTGTCCACCACTACCTGGAGGTACAGTTGAAGTTTCCATTTTGTCCACAACCAGCTGGAGATACAGTTGACAGTTTCCTTTCTGTCCACCACAACCTTAAGGTACAGTTGAAAGTTTCCCTTTTGTCCACTACCACCTGGAGGTACAATTGAGAGTTTCCCTTTTTGTCCACCACCACCTGGATGTACAGTTGGAAATGTCCCTTTTGTCCACCACCAACTGGATGTACAGTTTGGAGTTTCCCTTCTGTCCATCACCACTACATGGAGGTACAGTTAAGAGTTTCCTTTCTGTCCTCCACCACTTGAAGGTTCAGTCAAGAGCTTCCCTTCTGTCCACCACCTGGAGGTACAGCTGAGTTTTCTTTCTGTCCTCCACTATGTGGAGATACAGTTGAGTTTCCCTTCTGTCCTCCACCACCTGGAGGTACAGTTGGGTTTCCCTTCTGTCCTCCACCACCTGGGTGTACAGTTGAGAGTTTCGCTTTTTGTCCTCTACTATGTGGAGGTACAGTTGAGTTTCCCTTCTGTCCACCACCATCTGGAGGTACAGTTGGAAGTTTCCCTTTTGTCCACCACCACCTGGAGGTACAGTTGGAAGTTTCCCTTTTGTCCTCCACCACCACCTGGAGGTACAGTTGAAAGTTTCCCTTTTGTCTACCACCACCTGGAGGTACAGTTGAAAGTTTCCCTTTTGTCCCCCACCACCACCTGGAGGTACAGTTGAAAGTTTCCCTTTTGTCTACCACCACCTTGAGGTACAGTTGGAAATTTCCCTTTTGTCCACCACCAACTGGAGGTACAGTTGAAAGTTTCCTTTCTGCCCACCACCAACACCACCTGGAGGTACAGTTGAAAGTTTCCCTTTAGTTCACCACCACCTTTAGGTACAGTTGGAAGTTTCCCTTTTATTCACCACCAACTGGAGGTACAGTTGAGAGTTTCCCTTTTGTCCACCACCATCTGGAGGTATAGTGAAGAGTTTCCCATCTGTCCACCACCATCTGGAGCTATAGTGAAGAGTTTCCCTTCTGTCCACCACCATCTGGAGGTATAGTGGAGAGTTTCTCTTCTGTCCACCACCATCTGGAGGTAAAGTGGAGAGTTTCCTGTCCATCACCATCTGGAGGTAAAGCGAAGCGTTTCCTGTCTACCACCACCTGGAGGTGTAGCGGAGAGTTTCCTGTCCACCACCATTTTGAGGTAAAGTGGAGAGTTTCCTGTCCATCACTATCTGGACTATCTGGAGGTAAAGCAGAGTGTTTCCCTTCTGTCCACCACCATCTGGAGGTATAGTGCAGAGTTTCCTGTCCATCACCATTTGGAGGTATAGCAGAGAGTTTCCTGTCCATCACCATCTGGAAGTATAGCAGAGAGTTTCCTGTCCACCACTATCTGGAGGTTTAGCGGAGAGTTTCCTGTCCACCACCATCTGGAGGTAAAGTGGAGAGTTTCCTGTCCACTACCATCTGGAGGTAAAGTGGAGAGTTTCCTGTCCACTACCATCTGGAGGTAAAGTGGAGAGTTTCCTGTCCACTACCATCTGGAGGTAAAGTGGAGAGTTTCCTGTCCACTACCATCTGGAGGTAAAGCGGAGCATTCCCTTCTGTCCACCACCATCTGGAGGTAAAGCGGAGCATTCCCTTCTGTCCACCACCATCTGGAGGTA